GACATTTCCTGTGCAGTTGGAATTATTGCAATCATCAGATGCTCATTAGTACACATCCTACAATCAGTTATATAATGCAGTGCACAACTACTTTCAGCCACGACCTTACCTACTAAATATTCCAGGCATTCCCTGCAGTAATAAAATGACTGTTGTGCAATATGCAATATACAATATGACATATAAATGTTAAAGAGGCTGAAAATACAGATAATTAATTCACTAGTTTTCCTACAGATTTTGAACTTCCCTTACAGAGGTTACTGATCAGTGAGTTAAACAACAAAATCAGTCCCGGTCCCAAGCAATGACCTTTGATTGATTGTTTGTGTATTTATCAGCCGTTCATTTCTGTGCAATATATTGTTCTTTTTGTAATAGTTTTCAAAATTGTAGAATTATATTTCTAATCTGTTCCTGTATTTTTACTAAAATGTTATAATATATTTTTAATCGCCTTTATTATTACATGTGCTTGCATGGAATTTCTAATTTTATAAATCTTTCTTAAGAATATGACGCAAGGTGAACAAATAATCAACCGAGTCGATCAATGGCTAAAACTGAAAATTCAAACAGATAATTAGCATGGACAGTACTGCTTGTGAGGGAGAGGCATGAGCCCTTGGAAGGGAGTAAAGTTTATTGGAAATAACTAAAATAAGAAATTTAACTGAGAAAGAAGGAGTGAGGACTCAAGAAGACTGACTGGAAGTGACGGAACGTGCTATTCAAAGGGAAAAAAGCATGCCTCCGTTTTCTTAAACAGGTGACATGACAGGGGAACAATGCAACACTTACGTCGTGTTGAAGCGCCTATGATAGGTAGGAGAGCGCGACGACAGAGAGTGACAGGGAGAGATGCAGCCGCGCACGGAAGGAAGGAGTTTAATTTAGCGTAGGAGATGGCATAGGGACGAAAGTTTTGCGAAAAGAAGGTTCGAGCAGCTGACCCGGGGATAAGGGAAAGAGAGAGGGAGGAAATAAGTATGGAGGAATACCGGTTTCTCGTTGCAGTCTTCCATAGCACGAGAGAGTGAAAAAGAGAGAATGTGCACGTATGTGTGGGGAGGTCCTAAAAATGCTCACCGAGCCATGGGTGACGAGCAGCACATGTACTGAAGCCATCTTGAGGGAGCGTCCACGCCTTGTCCAGTTGTTAGAGTCTGGCGTGAGGCAGAACAGCCGTCCTTCCCTGACAACGCTGGCCTCCTCTGGATTCCAGTCCAGCACCTCCAAAGCCAACTGTGCACAAGAAAGAAAACTTTATTTCTTTTTCTCTTACTCTCCACAAATACTGAATATAAAGTATCAACTCTAATTTATCAACGAATGTAGTATGTCAAGTAATAGTAGTGGTCTAAATGGTGGTGGAGAAGCTGGTCATTTATAGGTTTGGGACGCATTCCCTTGCCGCAGGTGCGCCACAGCTTTTACCTTTCGGAGTTTGAGGTTTGTGGAATAGTCGTGAGGCTGAGGAGAACGCTTCAGGGGGGTCCCACTCCCGACACTCATGGAAATCCGTCGCCAAAGCTTGGTTGGACTGACGTCCTTCGTCTCCTAAAAGGTGATGTCGCGATCGTTATAGGTGATATTGTCAAAAAGGTGATTGTGAATATCTAAATATCTGTTCAAATGATGAAAAGAACTTCATTTAATGCAATCTGATCTCGATGCCAAGATATTCTACGTACATTGTTCATGTGTTGCAAGTGAAGTTCGATTTTCTCCTTTGCGCGACGGCAGTCTTCCCTTGAAGGATGTGTTGGAGGCGTGGTCTTGTACAGCCGCGCCAGAAGGAGGGGATACTTTGTGACACGCTGGACTGGAACCTGGAACGTTATTTATCATTATAACTATAAACAATAGTGTTTTTTCGATTATACGAAAAAAATCCCAGATCTTTTTGTTTTCAATTTTTAAAATGGTTTCGGAGAATAGACATACCCTTACTACGGTAACAAAAAAAATATTAGTAACATTATTTCAAATTAAACTACAGAAAAAATACTATTAACATTTTCGACTAACTTATGTCGTTACTGTCAATAACATCATTTGAACATGATATAAACATTCACCATCAGGAAGGAATGCAAATTCATACGACGCAGTAATGTGTTCTCCATTTGGGACACCTTTAGGAATATCCTCAGCAGCTCCTTCTCCTTCTCTAAAGTCTGCAGTAACAGAGACGCCGAGCCCTGAAAGACGGACAGAGCAACCAATGACATATGCACGTAACAATCTCTTGTGTCAGTCATTAAGTATATGTATCACTGCCATGATACTTGTACAGCTGCGTATTTCAGCTTAATGATCATATGGCAAAGAGAGAATTTATTTTTTATAAAAACGCAAGAAAGTAGCTCATGGCAACTAACCTGTCTCACACAGTAATTTTCAAAGGCATGGAGCATAGGGGCCGCATGCAGGAAGAGTTTGGCAACGTTGACGGTAAGGAGGTCCTCGTCCCCCTGGTCGAGGGCAATTTCCAAGG